GCATGCAAGGCAAGTGCTCTACCACTGAGCCACCTTCCCAGCCCTCTACATTCTTTTTTTAAATTTTATTTTATTATAAAGATGTTGTATAGATGAGTTACAGTTACATAAGACAATGAGTACATGTCTTTTTTTTCTTCCTTTTAATTTTATTCTTTTATTATCTTTCAAAAAAATTTTTATTGTGAAAATACTGTACAGAGGGGTTATAATTACATGAGTAAGATAATGAGTACATTTCTTATCAAGCATTGTAGCCTCCTCCTTTGTTTCCCCTTCCCATCCCTTGCCATCCTCTGCCATCCCCCCCCAATCCTCTCCGCCCCCCACCAAAGTTGTAAAGTTCGTTTTCAACATAACGACTTGTACTTGCAATAAGTACATTTCTTGTTGAGCATTATTACCCCTTCCCTTGTTGTTCTCTCAACACTTTATTTTTAATTACTCTTTCTTTTTTTTCATTTGGTCAGTCATGAGGCCTGAAATCTGGGCCTGGGCTCAGCTCTTTAGCTCTTTAGCTCAAGGTTAGTGCTCTACCACTTGAGCCACAGCGCCACTTCCAGCTTTTTTCTGCTTATGTGGTGCTGAGGAATTGAACCCAGGGCCTCATGCATGCAAGGCAAGCACCTACCACTGAGCCACCTTCACAGCCCATTACTTTTTCTTTTTTTGGTCAGTTGTGGGGCTTGAACTTTAGGCCTGGGTGCTTTCCCTCAGCTCTTCAGCTCAAAGCTAGCGCTTTACCACTTGAGCCATAGCACTAGTTCCGGTTTTCTTAGTAGTTTATTGGAGATAAGAGTCTCACGGACTTTCCTGCCCAAGCTGGCTTTGAACTGTAATCCTCAGATCTCAGTCTCCTGAGTAGCTAGGATTACAGGCGTGAGCCACTGGTGCCCAGCTATTTTTAATTACTTTTGACAGTTGCTTTGCACTTCCTTAATTCTGAGTAAAATTGAATTTTTTTGTTGGTTGTAGGGCTTGAACTCTGGGCCTGGGTGCTGTCCCTGAGCTCTTCAGCTCAAGGTTAGTGCACTAACACTTGAGCCACAGGGCCACTTCTAGCTTTTTCTGTGTATGTGGTACTAAGGAATTGAACCCAGGGCTTCATGCTTGCTAGGCAAGCATTCAACCACTAGGCCACATTCCCAGCCCTTGAGTATTTTTTCTTTTATCCTGGGGCTTGAACTCTGGAACTTTTGCTTGGCTTTTTTTTTGCTCAGGGTTGGCACTCTACCACTTGATTCATAGTTCCATTTCTGGCTTTTTTTTCTGGTTAATTGGAGACAAGTGTGTCTCACAGTTTTGTCTATCCTGGCTTACTTCAAGTTGTGAGTCTCAGATCTCAGTCTCCTGAGTAGCTAAGATTATAGGTGTGAGTACCAGCATTTGGCCTGAATTTCTTTTAATGTATTGATTGACATTTGTATTTGTTTTTTCTCCAACTAATTAGTATCCTTTGTTTGTTCACAAGGTTCTTGTGTGTGTGTATGTGTGTGTGTGTGTGTGTGTGTGTGTTTCTCATTGATTTATATAAGTTCTTCTCTCTCTTCTTCTTCCCCCCTTCTCTCTCCCCCCCTCCTCTCTCCTCTCTTTTGCAGTACTAGGGCTTGAACTCCAGACCCTGAGCTTACTAGGCAGATTTCCTACTACTTAAACTATACTTCAGTCCCTTTTTTATTGGTTATTTTTGATGTCTAGTCTCTGCTTATGCCCAGGCTGTCCTGGGATACGATCCTTCTACTTGTGTTTCCCTGTATCTCTGGCAATTACAGGTGCAAACCACTGTTTCCAGCTGTATAAATTCTTAATTATTTCACACTAATTTAACACTAAAATATAGCAATTTGACTGGGGCCAGTGGCCCATGCCTGTAATCTTAGTTCTCCCTCCCCTCAATGCTGAGGACTGAACTCAAGGCCTTGCACTTACCAGGCAAGTGCTTTCTACTGAGCTAAATCCCCAACCCCAAGGTGTAGCCCAGGTTGTCTCAAACTTGTGATCCTCTTGCCTTATCTTCCTCATTGATTGCCAGTATGTGCCACCACGGCTGGTTGTAATCTTAGTTACTCATTTTGTCCCTAAAGCTGACCCATCCCCTAACCCTCACCTGAACTCAAGAACTCCCTCTAACCTTAACCCTAACCCTAATGCCCCAAGAATTCTCTCAGGAGGATCTCAGTTCAAAGCCAACTGAGGCAAGGAAGTCTGTGAGACTCATCTCCAATTAACTACAAGAAAGGCAGAAGTAGAGCTGTGGCTCAAAGTGGTAGAGCACTAGCGTTGAGCAAAAGACCTCCACGACCAGTGCCTTGAGTTCAAGCCCTACAACTGACTAAAAAACAAAAACAAAAATACAAGAACAAAAACAGACTTGTGGTTCCATACTTGAAAGGGCAGAAAATATCCATCATCTTTCTATATGTTCTATAAAATTGAGAGAGTAAGGGCTGGGAAGGTGGCTCAGTGGTAGAGTGCTTGCCTTGCATGCATGAGGCCCTGGGTTCGATTTCTCAGCATCACATAATCAAAAAGAATAAAGCCGGAAGTGGTGCTGTGGCTCAAGAGGTAGCGTGGTAGCCTTGAGCTGAAGAGCTGAGGGACAGCACCCAGGCTCAGAGTTCAGGCCCCACAACCAGGACCCCCCCCAAAAAAAAATTGAGAGAGTAAGATCAAAACAAAGGCTTCTGGGGATGTCCTATGACTTTGAATGTTATGCTCACTCTGTTTCTTTATAGTCATCCACTGTCAAGTGGGCAGTGGTTAGTGATCATTTTGTTTAAAGTTTCCTGTTCACTAGAAGTAATCCAATCTGTGATCTTGTTGATAGATGCCCTCGGATTTTCAGAGCAGCATAGGAAGTCTTATTCCCATTTGTTTCTGTTTGTTAGGAGCTGGACACTGAAACCTTGGGTACCTGTACAGATTTCCAGGTTGTCCCAGGCTGTGGCATTAGCTGCAAAGTCACCAATATTGAAGGCTTGATCCATAAGAACAACTGGAAGATAGAGGAAAATAACATTAAAAATGCATCCCTTGTTGACATTGATTCAAGTAATGAACTGCCAACTTCGTCTTCTATGATCATTGATGCCCAATACTCAAGTAAGCTAATTTTCTTTGTAGTGCCAATTATGAATCATCAGTTAACTTGATAACCTTGGACTGTTATAGAAGAAACAAAACTTGCCATCCTGATTTTATTCTCTCAAATCAGGTTTATTCAAGGCTGCCTGATGACTTTTCTCAGGAATATTTGCCAGCTGTGCTCACCCATACCACCATAGAGGGATGGGAGCTGCCCTTAGCAGATGCTTCATGATTTCGTATTTCTCTCTACAACTCTCACTCTGTTATTTTTTAATTTTCATTCATTAATTAAATTTGGTGCCAGTCCTAGGGCTTGCACTCAAGACCTGGGTACTGTCTCTAAGCTTTTTTGCTTAATACTAGTGCTCTACCATTTTATGTCACAGCTGCATTTCTGGTTTTCTGGTGATTACTTGGAGATAAGAGTTGCATTGACTTTCCTGCCGGGGCTGGCTTTGTACCGTGATCCTCAAATCTCAGCTTCGTGAATACCTAGGATTATAGACGTGAGCCACCAGTACCAAGCTAACTTCTGAACCTTTTGTATCTTTCAAGAGATCCTGTGTACCTCTCTCAAGGCCCCTCTGCAAATCACCTTCTCATATAGAAATTTATACTTCTCACGCATGTGTTCTTTCTGTTTTGTTTAGTCATTCCTTCTCCATGGGAAGAGGTATCCCCCATCTTGCGTGGCACACCTCTCCATGTTTGCTCCAGCCCCACCCTCTCTCAGTTGCTCAGGGACCTCCCTCCCTCTGTCATGTCTCCTTGCTTCTTTTTGTTGTTGTTATTGGTCGTGGGGCTTGAACCCTGGGCCTGGGCACTGTCCCTCAGCTCTTCAGCTCAAGGCAAGTGCTCTACCACTTGAGCCACAGCGACACTTCCAGTTTTCTGGGTGGTTTATTGGAGATAAGAGTCTCACAGACTTTCCTTCCTGGGCTGGCTTTGAACCTCGGTCCTCAGATCTTAGCCTCCTGAGTAGCTAGGATTACAGGCGTGAGCCACCAGCGCCCGGCTCCTTGCTTCTTGATTGTCAGAGTTCTCTTTTTGTAGCAGCTTCTTCTGAATATTTCTTCTACCGAAATCATTAATTCCCATCTAAACTCAGCCTTTATTTTCTTTCTTTTCCTTTGTCTATAAGATTCAAGATAGCATATTCTAAAATTATTAAATTCACTTAGTTGCTACACACTCATTTCCGTTCATGCAGTCTGGCTTCTAACCCATCCACACCACTGAAGCTGTTCTTTCTGTTACTGAACTGTGCCCTCAGTGCCCCCTCTACTGGTCATTTTTTAGTCTGCACCCTTAGCATTTGATGATGATCGTTCTCTTCCCTTCAAAAACATTCTTGGGCCAGTACTGAGGCTTGAACTCAGGGTCTGGAGCTCTTTGCTTAGTTTTTTTTTTTTTTTGTCGGTCGTGGGGCTTGAACTCTGAGCACTCTACCACTTGAGCTACAGCACCACTTCCGGTTTTCTGGTGGTTTATTGGAGATAGGAGTCTCACGGTCTTTCCTGCCCGGGCTGGCTTTGAACCGAGATCCTCAGATCTCAGCCTCCTGAGTAGCTAGGATTACAGGCGTGAGCCACCAGCGCCCGGCTTTTTTGAGGATTTGTCTACTTGGGTTGGGATTGAACTGGGGACCTTCAGATCTCACTCTCCTGAGTAGCTAGAGTTATAGGCATGAGCCACTGGTACCTGGCCTTAGTTCTTACTCAGTTCCTTTTTACTTCTCTCAAATATTGTATATCCTCAGGAATCTGTTTTTGATCTTTTTTCTCATTTTATTTACTCACCTTCTATTCAGTTCCATTCATGCTCATCACTTGTTCTCCCACAAATCCTTCTGCTACCACTCCAGAATCTATAGCTCTAGCCAATGATTGTTTTATAGGCCCCATCCTGACCTATCATCCCAGAATACAATGGACTCACCCCTCTGTGCCTGAGTGATCTTGTTACCTGGTAAATTCAGTCATGGTACTTTATCAGTGACTTTATTTTATAGTGTATTTTAATCGATGTTGGAATCATGGATCCTTTGGAGAAATGGGCTGAAAATTATGAGCCTACTTATGACATGTTTGTCTTAGGACATCTGTCCTGAAGCACATCCATGGATCTTGGTTAAAAAACCCAATCTAATGGGTCTTTCTCCTTCAGAGCTTGGTACAAGATCTCTTCCTCAAGTTATATTTCCTGCCTCCCTGTATCGGTTTTGTCTTTTTCCAGTGCTCAATGTGTATTGTGTTGTATGTCCCATCCATACCTTCCTATGTACAGTTCCTCCTTATAGTACATTATTTCCTGTCCATTAGATCATTCCATTTACTGCTTCCCTGTATAATGCCCTTATCCACAAGTTACATCTACCTTGTGAACCCTTGTGCTATCTATCCAGAACCAGCTTCCATCTCTCTTCAGTGACATGTTCACTGACTGTGGTAAACTGGTAGAGGCAATTACTTATCTTTAATAATAGCTGTACTTCATTTGTGTGATTTACTAGGCACGCTATGTAATAATTGATTATGGGGCTAGGAACGTGGCTTAGTGGGAGAGTACTTGCCTAGCATTCATGAAGCCCTGGTTTCAACTCCTCGGTACCATATAAACAGAAAAGGCTCAAGCGGTAGAGTGCTAGTCTTGCTCAGCAAGAACTTCATGGCCAGAACAGACTTAAGTGAGGAGGAAAAGGAAGAGATGATGTGACACACATATTGCTGATCTAGGTCCCATGAAAGGATGTTGAAAATAGTTGGTCTTTTTCTTTGGTTGGTTTTCAGTGCTAGGGATCGAATCCAAAACCTAGCATGTACTAAGCAAGTGCTCTGTTGTAAGCTAGATGTCCAGCCAAAATTTTTGAATTTTTTACCCTGAGTTGGGAAGCTACTTCAGGGTTTTGAATAGTGGAGGGCTGGTATTTGACTGGATGGTTTTGTTTTTGTTTTGTTTTCTTTTTTGCCAGTCATGGGATCTGAACTCTGGGCCTGGGCGCTGTCCCTTAGCTCTTCAGCTCAAGGCTAGTGCTCTACCACTTGAGCCATGGCACCACTCCCAGCTTTTTCTGCTAATGTGCTGAGGAATCGAAACCAGGGCCTCATGCATGCGAGGCAAACGCTCTACCACTGAGCCACCTTCCTAGTCCTGTTACCATTTTTTGGGGGGGTCCAGTCGTGGGGCCTGAACTCTGGGCCTGGGCGCTGTCCCTCAGCTCTTCAGCTCAAGGCTAGGGCTCTACCACTTGAGCCACAACGCCACTTCCGGCTTTTTTCTTTTTGCTTATGTGGTGCTGAGGAATTGAACCCAGGGCCTCATGCGTGCAAGGCAAGCGCTCTACCACTGAGCCACCTTCCCAGCCCCCTGTTACCATTTTTGTGCTTGTCCTAGGACTTGAACTTGGCCTGAGTGCGGTCCTTGAGCTTTTTTTTTTTTTTCCTTTAAGGCTAGTGCTCCACTCCCAGCTTTAGTGGTGATTAACTAAAGAGTCTCATAGATTTTCCTACCCAGGCTGGTTGAACTGTGATCATCATATCTCAGCTTCTTGAATAGCTCAGATACAGATGTGAGACACCAGCGCTCAGCTTGACTTAATGTTTTTCAAATATTATTCTGTGTTCTCTGAGGAAGTAGGAACTGAGGGCAGGGGAAGTGGCAGAGAGATGAGTGGACTGTTGCCATATTCCAAATGAAAGATCACAGGCTGGGAATGAGGCTCAGTGGTAGAGTGCTTGCCTAGCATGCATGAAGCCCTGGGTTCAGTTCCTCAGTACCACATAAACAGAAAAAGTTGGAAGTGGCACTGTGGCTCAAGTGGTAGAGTGCCAGCCTTGAGCAAAAGCAGCTCAGGAACAGTACCCAGGCCCTGAATTCAAGCTCCAGGACTGGCAAAAAAAATGTTTGTTTTTGTTTTTTGTTGGTGGTGGGGCTTGAACTCGAGGCCTGGGAATGTCCCTCAGCTCTTCAGCTCAAGGCTAGTGCTCTATCACTGAACCACAGGGCTACTTCCAGTCTTTTCTGTTTATATGGTGCTGAGGAATTGAACCCAGGGCTTCATGCGTGCTAGGCAAGTACTCTACCACTAAGCCACACTCACACACTCACACACACACTCACTCTCTCTCTCTCTCTCTCTCTTGTATTTATTTATTTTTGTCGTGGGGCTTGAACTCTGGTCTTGGGCGCTGTCCCTCAGCTCTTCACCTCAAGACCAGCGCTCTACTGCTTGAGCCACAGCGCCACTTCCAGTTTTCTAGCAGAAGATAAGAGTCTCATGAACTTTTCTGCCCGGGCTGGCTTTGAACCGTTATCCTCAGATCTCAGCCTCCTGAGTAGCTAGGATTACAGGCGTGAACTACCGGTGCCTGGCTCCAACATATATATTTTTAATGTATATCTAAGAAATATTTAAGAAACCAACAAGTCGGGCTACTCAGGAGGCTGAGATTTGAGGATCACAATTCAAAGGCAGCCTGTGCAGGAAAATCCATGAGACTCTTATCTCCAATGAACCACCAGCAAACCAGAAGTGGAGTTGTGGCTCAAAATGGTAGAGTGCTAGCCTTGAGCACAAAAGCTTAGGGACAGTACATAAGCCCTGAGTTCAAGCCCCAAGACTGATGAAAACAAAACTAACAAAATGATATAATTTAAGTGTCATGCATGTTGTTATTGACAAAAATAAAATCATTTTGGTAGTTAAAGAAGGAGCAGGGTCAATATGTAGTAGAAGGGGCTGTGGGATGTAAGAATACAGAAAACACAGGTAGCCTGGGAGATGACTTGATTTTTGTTTTCTGGCATGAGAATGAAGGAGAAGTTAAGGACTGGAAAGGAGAGATTTGACATAGTCATCTAGAAGATACACAGAACTAGTAGACTAGTGAAGTGTAGTGAATAGTCACAGCATCAAAGCTTCACTTAAAGTCCATCATTCTGGGTGCCAGTGGCCCACACCTGTTGTAATCCTAGCTACTGAGGAGGCTGAGATCTGAGGATTGTGGTTCAAAGCCAGCCTAGGCAGGAAAGTCCGTGAGACTCTTTTTTTTTTGGTCATGGGGTTTGAACTCTGGGCCTGGGCACTGTCCCTCAGCTCTTCAGCTCAAGGCTAGCACTCAGTACTTGAGCCATAGCACCATTTCTGGTTTTCTGAGTGGTTTATTGGAGTCTCTGGACATCTGTCAGTCTAGTGCCTGGGACTAGGAATATCCTGAGGATCTGCCCCCTGCAATGACCTATTTAGGCCCAGACCAGCCTAGCTGCTGGACTCAATGCCACGTTTGTCCCTGTGATCGTGTCCTGTGTCCTGTCTCCTAGCTCTTCTCCAATCATCATGGCATCCTAATTCAGCTCAAGAGCTGAATTGGCTTGCTGGTATTGTTCGTTATTTCTTTCCTCTTTAGCATTTTCCTGGCTGTGTTATGTGTATTTGCATGCTTGCAGGCCTTTGTAACAACTGGTGGCCTGTAGCCTGTTAACTGTATAATAAAGACTCCAGTATTCTATATATTTTTTTTTCTAGGGCTGAGGACCGAACCCAGGGCCTTGCGCGCGCCGGGCGGGCGCCCTTCCGCTGGGCTAAATCCCCCAGCCGCTCTCTTTTTAAAAAATATATAATTTTTTAAAAGTCTCATGGACTTTCTTGCTCGGGCTGACTTTGACTAATGATCCTCAGATCTCAGCCTCTTGGATAGCTAGAATAATAGGCTTGAGCCACCCGGTGAGACTCTTATCTCTAATTAATCACAGAAAAACCTGGAAGTGGCTCTATGACTCAACTGGTAGAGCACAAGCCTTCAGCAAAAGGAACCCAGGGACAGTGCCCAGGCTCAAGAGTTCAAGCACCAGGACAGGATGTGTGTGTGTAGTCAGTCTTGACTCAGAGAGAAACATCAGTATGATTGCATGTTTACCCCTAACCACATTAGGCTACTGGTAGACAACAAGTAATTTTCAACTTAATTGAATTGCTATGTAATTGCAAATTGAATTAATGTTGCAACCAAATGGAATTGCGTATTCAGTTGCTTCTATTACTATGAAAGAACAAAGGAGAACCTTAAGAAGAAAGTGACATTTTATTTTTTGTGCCTGTCCTGGTGCTTGAACTCAGGGTCTGGGCACTGTCCCTGAGTTTTTGTGCTCAAGGCTAGCTAGCATTCTACCGCTTGAGCCACAGCTCCACTTATATCTCTTTTTTTTGGTAGTTAATTGGAGGTAAGAGATGGAGACTGCAGTCAAGACTTCAATGTATATCCTACAAAAATTTTTAAAAAGTGAAGGAAGGGTGGGATGGGAGGGATGGGAAAGAATGTTGAAAGGGGTGACACTGATCAAGATGAATTGTAGTCATAAACTGCCTTGTCAAATCGCAATTCCTTTGTGCAATTACTTAATAAAAAGTAAAATTAAAAAAGAGTCTTGGGGCTGGGAAGGTGGCTCAGTGGTAGAGCGTTTGCCTTGCATGCATGAGGCCCTGGGTTCGACTCCTTAGCACCACATAAGCAAAAAGAAAAAAGCCGGAAGTGGCGCTGTGGCTCAAGTGGTAGAGCGCTAGCCTTGAGCTGAAGAGCTGAGGGACAGCGCCCAGGCCCAGAGTTCAGGCCCCATGACCGGACCCAAAAAGAAAAAAAAAAAAGAGTCTTACAAAGATTTCCTGCTCAATCTAGCTTCAAACTGTGAATCTCAGATCTCGGCCTCCTTAGTAGCTAGGACTATAGGCATGAGCCACTGGGATCTAGCACTTTTGGTGTTTTCATTTTTTTAGTGGAGGTGGTCAACTGTAAATAAGAGTCTTAAAGATTTTCTTGCCTGTGCTGGTTCCAATCAATGATCCTCACATAGCAGCCTTCTGAGTAGTTAGGATTGCAGATATGAGCCACTGGCAGCCAGCAGAAAGTGACATCTGAACTGGTTCTTGAAGAACATGGGGACAGTGCTAAGGGCATTTCAGGTGAAGGCAGCTCTGTGTGCTCTGAGTCTGTTCCTAGAAAAGTTGAGAATCACAGTTATAGCTCATCTTTTACAAAAAAATACAATGTAGTGACTACAAGGTTAGATAGGAACTTGCCTTCATAGGGTGGCTGCAGGGGATAAAGGAGTTCAATGTTATTTCTGTGTTTTCTTTCAGATACTGTTAATACACAGCAGTACAAAGTCCTCATTGGCAATCGGGAGTGGATGATTAGAAATGGTCTTGTTATTAGTAATGATGTTGATGATTACATGATTGAACATGAAAGGAGAGGTCGGACTGCTGTATTGGTGGCAGTGGATGGTAAGATTTCCCATAGTGTGCTGTGACTCACTGTTGTGACCTGATATTGTTTAATGTGTATTTTGGACAGCCTTCTGAACTATGAAGGTTATTCAAAAGTAACTTGAATGCAAAGTGAAAATATTAGCAGCATATTCTGGGTCACAATTAGTTAAAACTTATCTTGCCAGGAGGTTGATACAAGATCTTGGATTCAAGGTGAGGCTGGGCTACATATAACAAGACCCTGTCTCAAAACAACAACAGCCAGACGAACGCCAGTGGCTCATGCCTGTAATCCTAGCTACTCAGGAGGTTGAAATCTGTGGATTGAGGTTCAAATACAGCCCGGGCAGGAAAGTCTGAGACTCTTATCTCCAAATAACCACTAGAAAACTAGAAGTAGTTCTGTGGCTCTGTGGTAGAGCACTCTCCTTGAGCTGAAGAGCTGAGGGTCAACGCCTAGGCCCAGAGTTCAAGCCCCAGGACTAACCTAAAAAGAAAAAACCCCCACAAAACAACAACAAAAACCCAGTTGGAATGGGGCTCCAAATTCAGTCTCCAGAACCACAAAAGAAAAAAAAAGCTCTTTAGAAATTCTTTTGTATATGCTTACCTGAATTATTTTCTTATTTATCTTGTTTTAAGTAAAAAAAAACTCCTTTTTTGATACTAAATTTAAACCAGATCCTGACACTTACTAAGCAGACTTTGTATCCATCTTCCAGTCCTGTTTTATATTGTTTGTCTTTTTTTTTTAATGCTACTGCTGGGCTTCAAACGCAGGACCTGGATACTGTCCCTCAGCTTTTTTGCTTAAGCCCAGTACTCTACTAAGAGTGTCGTGGACTTTCCTTCTGGCTTTCGAACCTTAATACTCAGATCTCAGTTTCCTGAGTAGCTAGGATTACAAGCCTGAGCCACCATCACCCACATCACATTAGTTGTTATTGAGATAGGGTCTCACTTTATGCCAGGGCCAGTTTGGACAAGAGTCCTCCTATTTATGCTTCCCCAAGAGGCTGGATGACTAGCATGAATTGCTGTGCCCAACCATTGTTCTTCCCCATAGCTGTTTAATAGGAATGTATTACCTTAACTATTGGTTGAGATGAAATCTCCTGAACTTCATTTTTTTTTTTTTTGCTTGGGCTATCCCTAAACTGTGATTCTCCAATCTCCACCTACCAAGTAACTAAAATTATAGACTTGAACCACTGTGCCTGGCAATTAAAAATCTAAAAGTAACTTGACATTAAAATAATAGGAGGGCTGGGAATGTGGCTTAGGGGTAGAGTGCTTGCCTAGCATGCATAAAGCTCTGGGTTTGATTCCTCAGTACCACATAAGCAGAAAAAGTTGGAAGTGGCACTGTGGCTCAAGAGGTAGATTGCTAGCCTTGAGCAAAAGCAGCTCAGAGACAGTGCCCAGGTCCTGAGCTCAAGCCCAGGACTGGCAAAATAATAATAATAATGATAACAACAACAACAATAATAAAAGAGTCAAAGCCAGGTGCCAGTGGTTCACACCTATAATCCTAGCTACTCAGAAGTCTGAGGTTCACAGTTCAAAACCAGCCTAGGCAAGAAAGTCAGTGAGACTCTATCTCCAGTTAACCATGAAGAAGTCAGAAGTGGAGCTATGGCTCAAGCAATATAGAGTGCCAGGTTTAAGCAAAAAAGCCTCAGGACATTGCCTAAACCTTGAGTTCAAGCCCCAGTACCACCACTGTCACCAAAAAACCCCCCAAACAAACCCTGCAGAGTAAAAATAGCATTCATTATTCTCATCCTAACACATTTTAATTTAATATACTTTGTTGTACAAGCCGGGCGCTGGTGGCTCACGCCTGTAATCCTAGCTACTCAGGAGGCTGAGATCTCAGGATCGAGGTTCAAAGCCAGTCCGGGCAGGAGAGACTGTGAGACTCCTATCTCCAATAAACCACCAGAAAACCGGAAGTGGCGCTGTAGCTCGAGTGGTAGAGCACTCGCCTTGAGCTGAAGAGCTGAGGGACAGTGCCCAGGCCCAGAGTTCAAGCTCCCACAGCCAACCAAAAAAAAAAAATATATATATATATATATAGTTGTATATAGATATATGATAAATATGATAGGTGTATATTATAAATATTATACATATGTGTATATAATCTCAGCACTTGGGAGGCTGAAGCAGGAGGATTGAGCATCAAGGCCAGCCTGGGCTACATAGCAAGAACCCTACCATCTCAAAAACAAAAAACCCAAATTAAAATTCCTTGTACATTGTTTCATTATGTTTTATTTTACTAAATTAAACTCAATATTTCATGTTTGCTTAGCTTGCTTGCTCACTGTTTGCACTCTACCACTTGAGCATACCTACAACCTTGTTTTTTTGCTGGCTATTTTGGAGTTAAAGACTATGGAGGACATTTCTTTTTGGCTAGTTTGAAATTCAGTCCTCTGGATCTCATTCTTCTGAGTAACTAGGATTGTAAACATGAGTCACCCATATCAGCTAATTAAATTTTTATTCTTATTAATTTTCACAGTTTTGGGTTTGGACCCAGGACCTAGGCAAGTGCTCTACCACTGAGCTACATCCCAAGTCCTTTAATTTTATTTTAATACTGTATCACTTACCATACTTACATATTTCACTGTTGTTGAATATGTGGAGTATTTGTAATATTATAGTATTATATAATACTACAATAAACATACTTGATGTCTTATGAGCTTTCATTTGTTAAGTTATTTCTTAAGGTAGATATCTAGTTGTGAACTTAATTCATTTATAATCCTTGCAAAGTATGAAGACAATATTTTCTGTGGCCTTTTGAAGTCAGTAAGAAATATAGACAATATTTTATTTTTGTTGAAATAAATACCTTTCAATAATTTTCCCTATATAAAATGTCAGTTTTATCTCCATTCATTCTTCTTTACCTTCAAAAGAAAAAAATATTAGTTTTCTTGTTAAATTTGCATTTAAATTATCTAGAAGTATTGTGGCTATTGGCAAAAGCCTATCTAAGAAAAGAAGTCTTTAGATATTTATTAAGGTGTCTCCCCCCAGCCTTTCTCTCTTGTGCGCATTTATTTTTGTGCCAGTCTTGGGGCTTGAACTGTGGGCCTGGGCACTATCCCTGATCTTTTGTCCTCCAGAATAGTTTGCTACCATTTCAGCTACACTTCCACTACTGGCTTTTCTTAGTAGTTAATTGAAGATAAGATTCTCTAGGCTTTATTGCCCAGCCGGCTTATCTCAGTCTCCTGAGTAGCAATGATTACAGATGTGAGCTACTAGCATCCAGCAGGGTCTTTCTTATTAGTTAGCAATGCTTTCACCAGTTACCCAGTAGAATTTTCATAACCAAATATGGAAATTTGTGCAAAACTTGTCAGGCTCAAGCCCTGAACTGCTTTTTTGTTATCTACCATATTGTTCTGCTTTCACCATATTCCAAGCCTTGCTGTTCCTTCATTAGATGAACTATGTGGCTTAATCGCCATCGCTGACACAGTGAAGCCCGAGGCAGAATTGGCTGTCCATATTCTGAAGTCTATGGGCTTAGAAGTAGTTTTGATGACTGGAGACAACAGCAAAACTGCTAGATCAATTGCTTCTCAGGTAAATGATACTTATTTCTTGTTAGGGTGAGGGGTGGGCATGTGGTAACTTCTAATTCTTTTTTTTTTTTTTTTGCCAGTCTTGGGGCTTTCACTCAGGGCCTGGGTGTTGACCTTTGATTGAGCCTCTTTGTTCTCAAGGCTAGAACTCTACTACTTGAGCCACAGCACCACTTCTAGCTTTTTCTTAGTTTATTGGAGTCGTACGGACTTTTTATAAGAGTCTTACGGACTTTCCTGCCTGGGCTGGCTTTGAACCCGTGATCCTTACGTCTCAGCCTCCTGAGTAGATAGGATTATAGGTGGGAACCGCCAGCGCCTGGCTAACCTCTAATTCTTCATGTATATTTTATTTCTTGTATTTAGATGCTAATAGATAATACTGTTTTCATTACCACTAAATAGTTATACCCGTTTCCTTAAAGAAGAATTAGCATACTGTGCTGGGAGGACTTTAGGATTTGGGTGTTACTGGTATAAGTAAAAAAAGGTATTTGCTTAGTTTGTGGGATGCTTGCATGATCCTATACACTGATGTCTGTTGCTATGTCCTTTGAAATGTTGCTTGTATTCTTCACCAGCCCAAGCTGGGTGCTCACCATCACGGAAAAAACTCCAAGCAGGTTCCTCTTTAGTTCATCTTGATCCCTGCCATAGGCCCATTTTCCTACAACATACCACATTTCTGCTCACTGCACATTTGCCTTGTTGCTAATATTTTTCAGTCTTTTTTTTTAAACTTTAGAATGCCTTTTCCCTTCTAGTAAATTGCACAAGGAATCTTTTTTTTTTGCTTGTCCTGGGACTTGAACTCAGGGCCTGGGCACTGTCCCTCAGCCTCTTTGTGCTCAAGGCTACTGCTCTACCACTTGAGCCACAGCATTATTTCCAGCTTTTTCTGAGTAGTTTATTAGAGATAAGTTTCACAGACTTTTCTGCCCTGGCTGGCTTTGAACACGATTATCATATCTCATACTGAGTAGGTAGGATTACAGGTGTGAGCCACTAGTACCTGGCTGCACAAGGAATCTTTATGAATACATTCTTATATAAAAACACAGATGGAACCAGGAACCTTTGGCTCACACCTATAATCTTAGCTACTTAGGATGCTGAGATCTGAGGACTGCAGTTTCCATTTCTTTTTTTTGGGGGGGGGGTCCTGTCGTGGGGCCTGAACTCTGGGCTTGGGCACTGTCCCTCAGCTCTTCAGCTCAAGGCTAGCGCTCTACCACTTGAGCCACAGCACCACTTCCGGCTTTTTTCTTTTTGCTTATGTGGTGCTAAGGAATTGAACCCAGGGCCTCATGCATGCAAGGCAAGCGCTCTACCACTGAGCCACCTTCCCAGCTGAGGACTGCAGTTTGAAGCCAGCCTAGACAGGAAAGTCTGTGAGACTCTTATCTCTAATAAACTACTCAAAAAATCTGGAAGTGGTACTGTGGCTCAAGTGGTAGACCATTAGCCTTGAGCACAAAGAAGCTAGGACAGCACCCAAGCCCAGAGTTCAGGCCCCAGGACCTGCAAAATCAAAAAACTCACTTTTTCATATGTGTGTGTATGTGTTCATATACAAATGTTTCATTCCTAGTATTTTCAACTTCAAATGGATAATTTTGTACAGATTATTCGGTAGCTTTATTTTTTATTTTTATGCTGATATTGGGGCTTAACCTCAGAATATGGGCACTGCTTATGAGCTTTTTTGCTCATGGCTACTGCTTTACCATATAAGACACAGTTCTACTTTTGGATTCTTGGTGATTAATTACAGATAAGAGTCTCATAGACTTTCCAGCCCAAGCTGGCTTCAAACCCTTATCTTTATATTTCAGCCTTCTGAGAAGCTAAGAGTACAGGAGGTGCATGCCACTGACACTCTGCTAGTAGTCTTATTTTTTTTAACGTAACAATATTCCCCAGCTTTGTTTACCTATAAGGTTATTTCATTCTTTCTACACTGCTGGATGGATTTTTATGGTATGGGTGTATCATAATTTGTTGGACCATTTTCCAGTGAGACATTTAGGTGGTTTTGACATTTTTGTGGTTGCAAGTAGGCAATAATTAATATCTCCCTTCTTGTACATGAAAAACTGTCTAAAATAGTTAAAAGTAGAATTGCTAGACCAAATGCTGCTAAATGTCCTCCAAAAATACAGTGTCAATTTTCACACTCAGCCACAGTGTACAAAAAGGTCATTCTTCCACATTATCACTGGATTTTGTTAGTCTCTTAAAATGTAGACACGTAGTAGATTAAGAAATGATAGCTCATCTGTGTGCTGGTGGCTCATGCCTGTAATCCTAGCTACTCAGGAGGCTGAGATCTGAGAATCATGGTTCAAAGCCAGCCAGGGCAGGGTAGTCCATGAAACTTTGATCTCCAATTAACCACCAAAAAGCCCAAAGTGGAGCTGTGGCTTAAGTGGAAAGGGCTAGCCTTGAGCAGAAAAAGCTCAGGGATAGCACTCAGGCCCTGAGTTCAAGCCCCAGTACTAGCACAAAAAAGGGAAGGAAGAGAGGTAGGGAGGAAGGGAAGGAGGGACAGAGAAGGAAGGAAAGGAAGGAAGGAAGAAAGGAAGGAAGGAAGGAAGGAAGGAAGGAAAGAGAAAAGAAAAGAAAAACGGATGGCTTGTTACTGTTCAGTTATGTTTCAGGTGCCCAGTCTTTCTTGAATTAAGCTTGTTTTCTTCATCTAGGTTGGGATTACCAAGGTGTTTGCTGAAGTTCTGCCTTCCCACAAAGTGGCTAAGGTGAAGCAACTTCAAGAGGAAGGCAAGCGGGTAGCAATGGTTGGAGATGGAATTAATGACTCCCCAGCTCTGGCCATGGCAAATGTTGGAATTGCCATTGGCACAGGCACAGATGTAGCCATCGAAGCAGCTGATGTGGTTTTGATAAGGGTAAGTCTTATAGCCTAATCTCTGAGGAGTATGAGACTTCCCACTGTAGTCAGTGACAGCTTTGTAACTGATTCTACTCCAATTCACATGTTTCTAGCTACAAAGAAGAGACGTTGTGTATGAAAAAGAGTATGAAAAAGTCTTAGGACTTCAATTCAGCAGTACAGATAAGAATCCCATGCTTGCTGGGCACTGGTGGCTCATGCTTATAATCTTAGTTACTCAGGAGGCTGAGATCTGAGGATCACATTTCAAAGCCAGCTCGGGCAGAAAAGTCCATGAGACTCTTGTGCCCAATTAACCTCCAGAAAACCAAAAGTGGTGCTGTGGCTTAAAGTGGTAGAGCACTAGCCTTGAATGAAAATGCTCAGGGACAGTGCCCAGGCCCTGAATTCAAGTACCATGACTGACAAAAAAAAAAAAGAAATACCAGGCTAACCATGTGAAGAATAAGAGTTAGAATGTATTTATAATATAATCATCTGGGACAAGTATTTGCCGAGGTTATGTTAATCAGCCAACAACCCTAAAAGTGTTTTCAGAATGCTGAGGAAAATTTCTGAGAATTTCTCTTAAGACTGATCAATGTTTTAGCAATATCTGAGATTTCAATGAGTTCACATATTCCCCTAAAGTACACAAAAGTCCTCAAGGTTCCTATAAAGGTGGAGTCATTAATACCACAAATATTTCTGTTCTCAGAATGATCTTCTGGATGTTGTGGCGAGTATTGACTTATCAAGAAAGACTGTCAAGAGAATTCGGATAAATTTTGTCTTTGCTCTAATTTATAATCTGATTGGAATTCCCATAGCTGCTGGTATGTGACTCATAACCCTTATTGTTTTGTTCACTGAAGTCATGAGAAGCAAATCATATTGGAAGTGTTCATTTTCATTTGAGATTTTTTTTTTGGGGGGGGGGTCTGGTCGTGGGTCCTGAACTCTGGGCCTGGGCGCTGTCCCTCAGCTCTTCAGCTCAAGGCTAGCGCTCTACCACCTGAGCCACAGCGCCACTTCTGGTTTTCTGGTGGTTTATTGGAGATAGGAGTCTCACACTCTCTCCTGCCCAGGCTGGCTTTGAACCGAGATCCTCAGATCTCAGCCTCCTGAGTAGCTAGGATCACAGGCGTGAGCCACCAGCGCCCGGAGTCCGTGAGACTCTTATCTCCAATAAACCACCAGAAAACCAGAAGTGGCACTGTGGCTAAAGTGGTAGAGCACTCATCTTGAGCTGAAGAGCTGAGGGACAGCGCCCAGGCCCAGAGTTCAAGCCCCACGACCGACAAAAAAAAAAAAAAACAGTCTAAATCTAGTAAGACTCATTGGTGGACCAAGTGGTTTTTTTGGTTGTTATGGTCTGTTGTTTTTGTGTGAGTACTGTGGCTTGAACTCAGGCCCAAGGTGCTATTCCTGAGCTTCTTTGTGCTCAAGGATAGTGCTCTACCACTTGTGCCACAGCACCAGTTCTGGCTTTTTCTGAATAGTTAATTGGAAATAAGAGTCTCATAACCTTTACTTTCCAGGCTGACTTCAAACCACGATCCTTGGATCTCAGCCTGAGTAGCTAGGAATACAGTCATCACCCACCAGTGCCCAGCCACCACGTGATTTTTTAAAATTTTATTGTTTTTGTTTTTTGAGACAGTCTCCCTATGTACTCCAGTCTGGCCTTGAATTCATGCTGTGTAATCCAGACTGCCCTTCGAACTTGCTGTGTACCTAGCCTGGCCTTCAACTCTCAGTACTCCTGAGCCTCCTGAGTACAAACCATACTCAGCTGAACAAGTGACTTTTAAAGAAATTATACAAGTAATATATGATTATTGTAGAAAAATAGAAATGTCCAGATGAACTTATAAAATTCAACGTACAAGAATTACCAGCTAGGCACGGGTGGCTTATGCCTATACTCTTCACTACTTAAGAGTCTGAAACCTGGAAGATCATGATTTAAAGCCAGCTAAGGCAGAAAAGTCTGAGAGACTTCATTTCTAATTAACTAGCAAAAAACTGGATTAGATACATGGCTCAAGTGGTTGAGTACGAGCCACAAGCAAGCAAGCTCAGAACACAGCACCGAGTTCAATCTCCTAAACTATAAAAAAAAAGAAAGGAAAAAGTACAAGAAGCCCATTATATGAGCAAATATTAAAATGCCAAAACCATGTATGGATGAGTTTGTAGAACATGAACTCCTGTATACTGTTGGTAGAATTGTGAATTGCTCTGGTTGCTTTTTGGGAACTGAGGGATTACATGTGCACTGAACATGTAATCACATTATTGTGATTTGGCAGTTTCACCCCTAGCATACACCCTAGAGAAATTCTAAAAATGTAGGTTTAGAGAGATGCATACCAGAATGTTTATGGCTGTACTTTATTAGTGGAAAAATTGGCAGCAACACACATCTCAACCAAGAGAATAAAATACTGAAGAAATTATTTGTTTACATTAGAAAGACACTGATCATTCTTTAATACTGCTTACTCTAGCTAATCCAAGCTTGTTTCCTAGGAGTTTTTATGCCCATTGGTTTGGTTTTGCAACCCTGGATGGGATCTGCAGCAATGGCCGCATCATCTGTTTCTGTGGTTCTTTCTTCTCTCTTCCTCAAACTGTGAGTATGATGATTTGCTCATGTTGCTAATTTTTTGGAGACAGGATTGCACTGTGTACCCCAGGCTGGCCTCAAACTCAATTCTGCCTCAGCCTTCCCAAGTGCTGGAATTATAGGCCTGTGCCACCAGGCTCAGCTTTTATATGCTTTATTCATCCACAATTGGACTTGGTGTATTTTATTTTTGTTTTGATTAATAATAAGTCCATATTGGGAATTGGTGGCTCACACCTTTAATCCTAACTGTTCAGGAGGTTGATATCTGAGAATCATGGTTTGAAGACAGCATGGGCAGGAAAGTATATAAGACTCTTAATTCCAATTAACCACCAAAAAGAAAGAAGTGGAGGTGTGGTTCAAATGGTAGAGCCCAAGCCTTCAGCAAAAGAGGCTCAGGTTCAGCCCCTAGGCCCTGAGTTCAGTCCCTAGGACTAAAACAGTAAGCCCAAACAATTATTATGAGTGATTGTTAGCTCCTGACAACAATTGAGCTATGTGGTTGTCCTCCCATATAGTTTATGCATAGCTACCACAACAGTAAGTGAGCAGCATCTTTTCCTCTGGCTCTAAGAAGTAGGATTTCTTTTTCTTTCTTTCCTCCTCCTTCTTTTTTTTTTTGGTTGGTCTTGGGGCTTGAACTCTGGGCCTGGGCGCTGTCCCTCAGCTCTTCAGCTCAAGATGAGTGCTCTACCACTTTAGCCACAGTGCCACTTCTGGTTTTCTGGTGGTTTATTGGAGATAAGAGTCTCACGGACTCCGGGCGCTGGTGGCTCACGCCTGTGATCCTAGCTACTCAGGAGGCTGAGATCTGAGGATCTCGGTTCAAAGCCAGCCTGGGCAGGAGAGAGTGTGAGACTCCTATCTCCAATAAACCACCAGAAAACCAGAAGTGGCGCTGTAGCTCAAGTGGTAGAGCGCTCGCCTTGAGCTGAAGAGCTGAGGGACAGCGCCCAGGCCCAGAGTTCAAGCCCCACGACCAACTAAAAAAAAAAAGTCTCACGGACTTTCTTGCCCAGGCTGGCTTTGAACCGTGATCCTCAGATGTCAGCCTCCTGAGTAGCTAGGATTATAGGCGTGAGCCACCGGCACCTGGCTGAGAAGTAGGATTTCTGTTGTGTGTTTTTTTGTTAGTGGTGGTAGTGGTGGTCATGGGGCTTGGAGTATGAGCCTGCGCACTGTCTGGGTTTTTTTGCTCAAGGCTGGTGCTCTACCACTTTGAGTCACAGTGCCACCAGTTTTCTGGTGGTTAATTGGAGATAAGAATCTCATGGACTTTTTTGCCTGGGCTGGCTTTCAACCCTAATCCTCAGATTTCAGCCTCCTGAGGAGCTAGGATTACAGACGTGAGCCATTGGCATCTGACTGAGAAGTAGGATTTCAGATCATTGCAACTCCACACAATACATTTCAAGCTATTTCCCTCATAGTGACCACCTTTCTTCATTTCATCGCGGACAAATCTTTTTCATTTGTACGTACAGCAAGCATATGTTTCACATTTGCTTTGTTTAAACTAGTGTCCTTTTACATGTGCCCAGATACCGGAAACCAACTTATGAGAACTATGTACTGCCTGCCCGGAGCCAATTAGGACAGAAGAGCCCTTCGGAAATCAGCATTCACGTTGGGATAGATGACGCCTCAAGAAATTCTCCTAAACTGGGTTTACTGGACCGGATTGTTAATTACAGCAGAGCCTCCATAAACTCACTACTGTCTGATAAACGTTCCCTAAACAGCGTGGGGACGAGTGAAGCAGACAAGCACTCCCTTCTGGTGGGGGACTTCAGGGAAGATGACGACACCACGTTATAGAAAGCACCAGAGGAGGCTGCTGTTGAAATTGTTAATGCACTGACATTCAGCACATCATCTTGGATTTTCAAACTCTTATGGAAAGACTTTATGTTGGTTTCTGGCTCTTATATAACAGAATCAATTTTGATTGCGATTGTTACATGGTGGGGAAATATCACCATCAGGACACAAGTTCTGAACCTAGCTTTATCAAAATGAGTGACCAGCATGTTTTGTTTTCACTAATGACAGACTAAGGGTAGAGCAGTGCAATTGAAAACAAGATCTTCCATGAGAGATTGCCCAGTGGCTGCTAAGGTAATAGATTCTTTTTTCTTCTTGACCAAAATAAAATAAAAAGCCCAAAGACAGGGTTTTTTGAAATCTGAAGATTTGAAAGAATAACCTTAGGGATATTCTTGAGCCTGTATCCCTGCCCACTGGAGCAATGCCTTTGAAAGCACTGTTGAAAACATAGTTTTAGAAGGGAAGTAGTTAAAACTGTTAGAAAGTAGATGTGCCTTATTTATTGTAGGATTTCTTTCCATTTTATTCTTCCTGTGTCCTTGATCTTGCAGTTTCTTAAGATGTTGTCTTTTGTTATCTTCCTTCAAGTGAGCCAAGTTAGATGTTTTTTTTCATTGATTAAAAATAACTGACAGTAATCACTCCAGAGACTGAGGCAGAAAGATCATGAGTTTGAGGCTAGCCTAGGCTATTGAGCAACACCCTGCCTCAAAAGAACATATAAACAGAACCCCTCAAAACTGACCATGTGTCCAGTATCTTTTCCTTTTTTTAACATTTTTGCAGCTCCAAAGATTTTAAGGATCTGAAGGGTTCCTTGCCTCCCATATTTCATTGTTGTAAAGATTTATCAGTGTTCCTCTAATCTTCCCTACCTTTGCGCTAGCTTTTGCTTCACTCCTGCTGAGTTCAAGTCTAAGTTATTTTTAGTGTTGTCTGTCCATCGGTTTCACTCCAGAAAGTTAACACTTTAAGCCTCTTTCACTCAAAAAGACTTTTAAAAATCAACACTACTATCTTTAACATATACAAGTTATATAAAATTAACCTGAATTCACTAAATTTTAATCTTTTTAGATAGAACATAATCACCTAGTTAGTATATATGATTTAGTAGATTACTTGTCAAAATGACATTTTAAAATAATAAACAAAAAGTTGCTTTTTACCAAAAACAAAGCCCAGTAAATTGTAACACAAAAATTAGAATTTTCACAGATTTTGATACGTTATAGGCAAATAATAGATTCTCTCTTGTTAAAAAAACATTTGCACTTGCCTAGTTTGTAAGGTTGGCAAATTTAAGGACTTGTGACTTCCAGTTGCCATTATGGATTTAGAAATTTCCCCGTGAATGCTGGGAAGCCAGTACAGTGGATGGAGATAGTACTTCAATGACTAGTTGCATTTCCTTGTTAAGCCAAAGGAGTTCATATACAGACCATGTAAATGAAGAGGGTCCTGAGAAAATTCCTAACATTTTCTTTCCATTGCTATACATTAAGTTACTAGCACTATACATAACATAGAATTTATAAATTTATGTTTTTTTTGACATTAGTACTAAATATAAAAACAAAGATTTTTCCAGGGAAGAGTCTAGAATCAGCTGGGAGGAATGGGACTCTTCCTTTTGTACCCCTTTTCTCTTTATACAAGTACCCCACATTTACAACATTCCATGCTGTCTCTTCAGATTTGGAAAGGGTTTGATTTCTATCTTAGCTATCTTAAGGAGAGAACTGAAACTTTTTGATGAAGGTGCTATTAATCTAGAAAGGCAAACCTATTTTAATAACGCACGAATGAGTATATATGTTTAGGCTCTTTTTTAGAGCAGTGCCTATGCCATCTTCCATACTTGCAGCTGGAGTTTTAATGTTTGGTTGTTAACTGAATTCCAATAGCCCATCACAACAGAACTCCTTTTTTTTCTAGGAAAAAAAAACAAGTACTATTCCAAATGTTAATAGATTTTTTTCTCTCACTCTGGAGCCATTGAGGAAAGGAGCCGCTCTCTCCTTTCCTACTTTATTCCTTTTCCCTTCTTGCATCCTCCTCCTTTCCTCTTGGCTCTATATACATATCATAGGACAGTAAAAGTAGTAGCTTATAGTTGGGAATAATTGAAGAACATCTTATTTCTTACAAGAACAGAAAACTGCTGTTTAGAAGCAGTCCAGGTAGGGTTGTAGTTCCAGTGGTAGAATGCTTATCTAGCTAGCCAGAGGCCCTGAGTTCAAACCCAGTATACCAAAAAACTAAGCAGCAAGGAAAAAAAATACTTAGAGGCCTACTTTATTGAATAGCCATACTTGAATTTTCTACCACAGCCTCTTGTAATCTTGAACTCTCATTAGCTTCACAGAGAAGCTGTATTTACAGCTTTCAATTAGTAAGTAGCTTTAAGGAACTAGTTACTAGTAAGAACAAGTTTTATCAATACACATCTATGTATGTTTATTCATATACTCATACATATGCGTATTTGTACACACATACACCCACATTACCATATAGAAAGAAAATAGATGTATATGGAAGATGGTTTGCATCTTTTAAAATGATTTGAATTTTCATCCGTCCTCTGACTTCACAGCACCCCTGCCCTCTGTCTGGAGATAAGAAGGACTTAGATATCCAGGGCTGGTGCAGACTCAGCCATGAGGCACTTTTCACTTAAATATCCAAAGAGGCCTTTTGAATTTCAAAGATTGCAATGTCACTAAAGCACTTAGTGTATAGTCTAAGGAAAGTATGGGGCTGTGAAAGTGGCTTAGTGGTAGAATGCTTGCCTAGCATCCATGAAGCTCTGGGTTTGCTTCCTCAGTACCACATAAACAGAAAAACCCGGAAGTGGCACTGTGGCTCCAGTGGTAGAGAGCTAGCCTTGAGCAAAAGAAGCTCAGGGACCGTGCCCAGACCCTGAGTTCAAGCCCCAGGACTGGCAAAAAAAAGTATGGCTGTCAGTCATGGAAATAGAAATGTTATTTTCCTAGTTTAGGATGAGCATTTTAGGAAGTTAAATTTGATGCCTTGTGAACAAATAGTTTTATATTGTGCTTTAATTTTTTAAAAAATATTCTTTATTCAAAATACAGAGTGCTGAAAATAATACCATGAATGTTTCCAAAAATTGAGGTGTGCATATCTTTTCTGGACACAGCTTAAAATCAAAAATGTATAAGAAAGGATTTTTTCCATTACTTTAAAATAATTTTTCTTAATATTTATTTTACTCTATTTTGTTACTTTCTTTGGGTGAGACATCTGGTTACTGGTTATTAAAATATAAAAAAGATATTCTTGGTATTGATCCTTTTGTTTTTTCTATATATTTTAAAACTTATTTCTTTACCAAATATGAAAATATAGATTCATGCCAAATTACCCACTTTTACTTTTAAAGTCCCTCTCTGGGTCTGCGAAACAAGATAAAGCACAAAGCATGATTTTTTTTTTAATGTGTGTGTGCCAGTACTGGGTCTTGAACTGAGGCCAAGGCACTCTAATTTTTTTTTTCCTCAAGGCTGATGCTGCACCACTTGAGCTACAGCTCCACTTGGGCTTTTTGCTGGTTAACTGGAGAAAAGAGTCTCATGAACTTTTTTTGCCTCGTCTGGCTTTGAACTGTAATCATCAGATAATAGCTACCTCAGTAGCTAGGATTACAGGCATGAGCCACCAGCACCCAGCCAAAGCATGAATTCTTGTCTTTAAATCAAAATATCTTCATTAATGGCATGAATAAGAAATGCCTCTTATAGCTAAAAACCAGGTGTCTCAACCTTATCTTTTTAGTTAGAAAATATTTAGTGAAATATTAAGACATTGATTGTTTGGTACCCAAAATAGCAGTGGGCAACATTGTGCAATGTTCATCCGCAGTCAAGATAGTTTGTTTTCTCTAAGCATGTCATTGATCATACTTCTGCCAAGGATGTGCCTTCAACTTTATAATTACAGTGTTGTAAAAAAAAATGCCTTGTTCACATCTCTTTTGTTAAATTGTCTGATTCCTATCTAACCCTCGGTTGCAGACTACCCTTATGTCTTTAGGTTTTTCTTCAATTGTGAATGTGAGCTATGGCAGGACTGGTAGCTGCCCGCACATCTGGTAAGGTTGGGAAGGAAGAAACTTATTCCTTCACACTCAACTCAACCTGCCATATCATTTAGTGAGGGACAAAGGAAGGAATATAACCTCTTCTTGATGTGTAGCATCTAACATATTTTCTTTTTGGTGCTAATATTGGGATTTGAACTCAGGACCTGCATGACGTCCCTAAACTTTTATGCTCAAGGCTAGCACTCTACCACTTGAACCACAGCTCCACTTCTGCCTTTTTTGGTAATTAATTAGAAATAAGATTCTCACAGATACTTTTCCCTGTGCTGGTTTTGAACTGTAATCCTCAGTGCTCAGCATCCTGAGTAGAATTAGAGATATGAGCCACTGGTGTGTCTGGCTCTAATACATTCTTAATATGTCTGTCCCAAGTAAGCTTGACAGATGACCCAAGCCCTTCTTGCTTTGGGGAGCCCTATTGCAGTTTGAAGCTCCCAGCCAACACACATTCCCATGTACAACATAATTTGAATTAAAGGGTTTTAAGCTCATTTATGAAGAAAAACTAAGCTCCCTTTCCATCCATATCCATGAAGTTATGCAGAATGGTAAGGTAGGAGTACCTTGAGGCCAGCTCTCTCTTTTCTTGGTGTCCTGACATGGAAGGGGTGTGGTGACAGCACTATCAACATCACAGCCAGTGAGGTTTCTAAACCTTCCAGATGAGGTAGCTAACAAAAGCTTTCCTGTGTGGGAGTGCTTTCTAGCTTACAGCCTCGAAGGCCTTAGTAGAATTCAGAGAGCAGAAAAATACTGTTTTTCACAGATTTGTGGAGGATCTGCCTGTGTCCCTTACAGATTTGTGTTCATAAGTGTTCAGCTGGTGAAGGTGACTAAGAGACACAGGCAAAGTTCTCAAAGATGAGGTTTAAAATGAGGTTAGTGCTGGGTGCTGATAGTTCACACCTGAGATCTGATCATCTCAGGCTGAGATCTGATGATCCAGGTTTGAAACCAGCCCTGGCAGGAAAGTCCATGAGACTCTTATTATCATTTAACCGCCAAAAACTAAAAATGGATCTGTGGCCCAAATTGTAGAGCAGTAACCTTGAACTAAAAAGCTAAGGGATAGCACCAGGGCCCTGAGATCAAGCCCCAGGTACAATACACAATAAAGTGACCTTGCTAATAGGAAGAATGTCAAGGAATTTAATTATACAGGTGATGTACAGAGGAGTTACAGTTACATAAGCCAGGTTAAAAATACATTTTTTTAATTTTTTTTTTATTTTTGTCGGTTGTGGGGCCTGAACTCTGGGCCTGGGCCCTGTCCCTCAGCTCTTCAGCTGAAGGCTAGCGCTCTACCATTTGAGCCACAGCGCCACTTCCAGCTTTTTCTGCTTATGTGGTGCTGAGGAATCCAATCCAGGGCCTCATGCATGCAAGGCAAGCACTCTACCACTGAGCCACCTTCCCAGCCTAAAAATACATTTTTTGGACAGTGTCATCTCTTCCGTCACTCTCTCCCCATTTTTCTTCCCATCCATGCCCACAGTTCAAGAGATCTTGAACAGTTCCACAGCTAATTGTCAACCTGGAAGAGTTTGAAATTCAGTAAGTAGTCTGGCATTCTGTGTCCTTAAGTGTTTTATAGCCCTCCTGCCACCCCAGGCCTGCCTAGCAACTGAAGGGCTACAATTCCTTCAAAATTCTCACTCAAAAGTCCAGTTTTCCCAGGTGCTGTTTCCTCATGTTTATAATCCTTGCTACTCAAGAAGCTGAGATCTGACAATCACAATTCAAAGCCAGCCCAGTCAGGAAAGTCTGCAAGACTCATCTCCAATTAACTACAAAAAGCTGGAAGCGGAACTGTGGCTCAAAGTGGTAGATTGTTAGCCGTAAGCACAAAAGCTCAGGAATAGCACCCAGGCCTTGAGTTCAAGCCCTGCCCCTACCCCCAAAAAGGTCCAATTTTGTCACTATGATGATTTTCACCAAATATAAAAGAAAAGTGAGATTAACTCAGGTTCTCCTTATATGCCAGTGGCCTTTAGAACTTGCCACATTTTATATAATTTGAAAAAGAATGCTTTTTGCCCAAATGACTAGTGAAATTTAAAAAAACAACTACCAGACAGCTAGGCGCTGGTGGCTCATACCTATAATCCTAAATCCTCAGGAGGCTGAGATCTGAAGATTGAGGTTCAAAACCATCATGGGCAGGAAAAGTCTGTGAGACTTTCTACTAAACTACCAAAAAGCCAGAAGCCATGCTATGGCTCAAGTGGTAGAGCACTAGCCTTGATCAAGAAAGGTCAGAGACAGCACCCAGGATCAGCTCTCTATGTTCTTGTTTTTACAGCTTTTGCATCTAGTCTTGGGCACTGATGACTATTTTTTTCTTTATTATTGCAGGTCCTGGGGCTTGAACTCAAGGCCTTGGCACTATCCCCAAGCCTTCTAGTGCTCAAGGCTAGTGCTCTATCACTTGAACCACAGTGCCACTTATGGCTTTTTCTGAATAGTTTATTAAAGGTGAGTCTTACAGACTTTCCTGCCTGGGCTGGTTTCAAACCATGATCCTTAGATCTCAGCCTCCTGAGTAGCTAGGATTATAGGCATGAGCCACCAGTGCTCGGCCTTCTTTTCTTTTCTTTTTTTTTTTTTAAATATTACTGAGACAGTCATAGTTTCTTTATTTTTTTATTTTATTTTTTTTTTTGCTGGTCGTGGGGCTTGAACTCTGGGCCTGGGCGCTGTCCCTCAGCTCTTCAGCTCAAGGCGAGCGCTCTACCACTTGAGCTACAGCATCACTTCCGGTTTTCTGGTTTATTGGAGATAGGAGTCTCACGGTCTTTCCTGCCCGGGTTGGCTTTGAACCTCGATCCTCAGATCTCAGCCTCCTGAGTAGCTAGGATTACAGGCGTGAGCCACCAGCTCCTGGCTTCATAATTTCCCATAGTAATGAAAGGGTATGATTTTGGAGTTCCACCCCATCTCTGCAAAATACCAGTTCTGCCATTTATTAATTGTGCGGGTAACTGTCATATTGCTGAGGGAACAAATTACAACAAACTTAGGGAGTTAAAACTACTCTACTGGGCTGGGAAGGTGGTCAGTGGTAGAGCTCTTGCTTTGCATTCATGAGGCCCTGGGTTCAATTCCTCAGCACCACATAAGCAAAAAGAAAAAAGCCGGAAGTGGTGCTGTGGCTCAAGTGGTAGAGCGCTAGCCTTGAGCTGAAGAGCTGAGGGACAGTGCCCAGGCCCAGAGTTCAGGCCCCAGGACCGGACCCCCCCCCCAAAAAAAACTACTCTATTTCAGGCTGGTACTGGTGGCTCACACCTATAAATGTAGCTACTCAGGAGGCTGAGCTCTGAGGATTGAAGTTCAAAGCCAGCCTAGGTAGGAAAGTTGGTGAGACTGTTATCTCCAATTAACTACCAGAAAACTGGAAGTGATGCTGTGGCTCAAAGTGGTAGAGTGCTAGCCTTAAGCAAAAAAGCTCAAGGACAGTGACTAGGCCCTGAGTTCAAGCCCCACAACCCTCCCCCCAACTGTTTCTTACTGTGAAGGTTAAAGGTCTGAAATGGGTGTCAGAAATAAAATCATAGTGTTAGCAGAGCTGGGATCCTACCAAAGGGCCTAAGGGAGATTCTAGTTCCTTGATGGATTGGCTTCTACACCATTCCTTGGCTCATGAATCTGTTGTGAAATTACTCCAACTTCTTATGCCATCATCACATTTTCTACTATTACCTCACACTTATTA